TGTGCCCGCCCCCTGGGCTCTTTACTGCCGGAGCTCCGCTCCTGTGCACTCCTGCAGGAAATGACTCCTGCTTCTGGCACAGCTGTCCTTGAAAGGGCAGTCCTCGAAAGAGCTCTCTCAGCCCCACCTACCTCACATGGTGACTGTTGTGGGAAGGGGAAGGGATGGGAGTTTGTGAGCCGCTCTGAGACTCCGAGTGAAGGGCGGGGCATAAATCCAGTCTCTTCTTCTTCTTTTAAAAATGGGTATTGGTGAAACTTGGACAGCTCTGCTTGAGCTGAAATGGAGTCCAAGTTGCCCCATCGGGGGAGTCAGGATATAGCCATTGACTGGCTTGTTTGCCTGCTGATCTGGGGACATTGCTGGATCGCTGAAGAACGTGAGAGTGGTCTAGTTTCTTTCCGTTCCTTTCAGGTTTGAGTGCCCACTTCCCGGTCAAGTAGAAGAATGGAAACCTGGATATCCCCAGCTTACCCAGAAGCCAAGACATTTGAAGGTGACTGTAGAATAGCCATCGGGTGACGCGGCTTCACCTACAATAAGAACATAAGAGAAGCCATGTTGGATCAGGCCAGTGGCCCATCCGGTCCAACACTCTGTGTCACACAGTGGCCCAAACCCAGGGGCCATCAGGAGGTCCACCAGCGGGGCCAGAACTCCAGAAGCCCTCCCACTGTTGTTCCCCCCCCAAGCACCAAGAAGACAGAGCATCACTGCCCCAGGGATAATAACACAAGAGAAGCCATGTTGGATCGGGCCAATGGCCCATCCAGCACTCTGTGTCACACCATGGCCAAAACCCAGGGTCCATCAGGAGGTCCCCCAGTGGGGCCAGAACTCCACAAGCCCTCCCACTGCCCCCCCCCAAGCACCAAGAAGACAGAGCATCACTGCCCCAGACATAAGAACATAAGATACACCATGTTGGATTGGGCCAATGGCCCATCCAGCCCAACACTTTGTGTCACACAGGGGTCCAAACCCAGGGGCCATCAGGAGGTCCTCCAGTTGGGCCAGAACTCCAGAAGCCCTCCCACTCTTGCCCCCCAAGCACCAAGAAGATAGAACATCACTGCCCCAGACAGAATGTGACATCTACACCTTGTGGCTCATAGCCACTGATGGACCTCTGCTCCACCTGTTTCTCCAGTCCCCTCTTAAAACGACTACACCATGCTGACGCTCGCCTTTTCCTTGTCATGCCAAAGTTCAGCCCAGCTGGCAACTATCCACATTTCAAATTCGGGGGTCCGTCAGCCACCCAATTTTACACTCTGTGCCTTTTATCTGTTGGAAGCGAAGGACTTTGTGCTGTGTTCTAGCCTCTGACTCCAGAGGTGGTCTATCAGCGAGTCAGAAAGATAGGCCAGGAGACTGAACATCCTTCCCTTCTACTCCGATGCTATCCCTTTGATGTGTAGATTGCTACTCTCGGGGAACCTTCCTTCCTTCTGGTCTGACACCTTCTCTCCACACTATGCTGGTCTTCTCCATCTTGGCACCATGAGGGCAGGACATACTTCCTGCATCTCTATCCATCCTAGCTAGTTAGACTAGATCAGAACCCTAACTCTATCCTGTCTAGAATGGAGTTCTTACAATAAAGGACTCATATTATTTATTTATTTATTTTTCAAATTTATACCCCGCCCTCCCCCGTAGGGCTCAGGGCGGCTTACAAAGGCAAGGTAACCTTGCTACAATAAAACACAATATAATTTAAAAACATACTATACATCTTAAAATCCCAATCCTAATTCAGATAAAGTGCTCAGTATTCTTCAAGGTCTTCAAGATCCAAAGATGACGGAAGAATCCCAGAAGTTCCTGGTGGACGGCCCAAGGCTTCAGTCATGTTCAGGTGTTTATTCTCAGGGCCTCTTCCAGCCCACCACGGTGGTGATATAGTGGGGGGCGGCGGCTCCTACTCAAAAGCCTGGTGGAAGAGCTCCGTCTTGCAGGCCAGCCTCAGACTTCAGAGGGGGGTCTATGAGAGAGACAGAGGTCGAATCTGCATTGGTATCTTCTGCTGCTTTGGCAATGCTCCTGTTCCATCTCAAAAAAAGATATCTACATCTCTTTCGGATTCACTCTCCTACTGTACCGTTATAATTTCTGCTGTCTAAATTATTTTACTTCCCTATGGTTTTGACTCCATTGTGATTGAGGCATCTCATCAGCTCAAGTGGATCTAGGTACTAAGCCCTCCTGAAAGTGCCATCTAGTGATGAAGACTTGAATCGACCAGATTGGAAGAACTTCTTGAACAAGCATCACTCCAACCTAAAGAAGGATGGCGTTGAGACTGCTTTAAAAATGAAGATGCGGACATGACCATAGAGACAGAGAGGCCAGGACACTGATCATCCTTTCTTTTCTACTGCCTGATGCTATCCCTTTGATGTGTAGATTGCTACTCAATTCTCAGGGAATCTTCCTTCCTTCTGGTCTGATGCCTTCTCTCCACACTGTGCCATTCTTCTCCATCTTGGCACCATGATGGCAGGAGATGTTTCCTGCATCTCTATTCATCCTGGCTAGTTAGAATCCTATCTCTACTCTGTCCTGTCTAGAATGGAGCTCTTTACAATACAGGACTGAGTTTTACAAAGATAAAGAGGCTCCGTGTGTAACTTTGTTTCTTGTCAGTACACACAATACAGACAGGCTCTGCTGCGTTATGTGCCTTGAGCACTCTGCTAACCCAAATAATTCCTTCATTCAGTCGATCAGACCTTCCTGTATTCTGCTCTGTCTTTCTTCCTTGCAGAGATGCCAGCCGACTTCCTTGCCAGTGATGTCGCTGGGCTCAGCCAATCTCCTGCTCTTTGGAGGGGCCTGCCCCCGCTCAGTGGCTCTCTGGACCTGCTGGCTGGCCTTGGGGAGACGGGGAACGTCTTCTGCTGGAGGGACAACTTGGACCACTGCATCTCCTACCTCAACAAGGTACGTGACAGTTTTCAGCCTCAGTGTGTTTGCCCTGGCCAACTAGACACGATTGAATCAGTCAACCATCTAGCCCAGCATCCTGTCACACACAGTAGCCAACCAGTTCCTCTGGAGGGCCAACCATAGGGCAGAGAGGCCGAGGCCTTCATAAGAACCTCAGAAGAGCCCTGCTGGGTCAGACCAGTGAGGGTCCATCTATTCCAGCCTCCCGTCTCACACTGAGGCCAACCAGTTCCTCTGGACGTAGAAAGGGCGTAGAGGTCGAGGCCTTCCCCGACGTTTCCTCCTGGAACTGGGATTAAGAGGCTGACCGCCTCTGAATGTGGAGGTTCAGTCCCGTGTTTTGGCAGATAAGGGGCAGTTGGAGAAGGCCCAGCTAAACGTCAGTGGATGTTCTTGGGCAGGAAGCAGGTAGAGAGGGCGGCTATCTAATAGGGAAGCGGACCGGACCTCATGGGGGAGCCACTGGTGCTAAGTGGACTCTGGCTCCTTCCGTGACTCTTCCGTCTCCCACTTTCCCCCCCTCCCCTGCTCAGGAGCTGGGGGCCCTGGGGCTGCCCACCCTCTACAAGGACGATGGCTGCGGGACAGATCCTGAGCGTGGCTTCAACCTGCTGGCGCTGGTGAACGGTACCTGCGGGCTGCTGCGTCTCTACCATAGCGTTTCGGCCAAGTTGGGGGACTTGGAGGCGGAGGAAATCCGGCGGGCCGGGGAACTGGACCACCTGCGGGCCCGACAGGCAAAACTCGAAAGTACCCCCCCCCCCCCCCCGGTCCCACGTCTCTGAACTTAATAGTGTTTGGCAATTGGCTGAATTCTGCAACTCTGGCCCAAGGCGCGGTTCAATGCCTGGGCAGAAGATGCGAAGGGCACCACCCACAAATTCCTGTGGGCGATGGTGAATCACGAGCAGTGTTCCCTCTAAGCTGAGTTAGTGTGAGCTAGCTCACAGTTTTTTAGCCTCCGGCTCACACATTTTTGTCTCAGCTCAGGAAGGGATGGCTCCAGAGCAAACTAATTGATGCAGTAGCCAAATCGTTTGCTCACAACTTTAATGCCAGTACCTCACAGAGTAGAATTTTTGCTCACAAGATTCCACAGCTTAGAGGGAACATTGGTCACGAGGGAAGGTTAGTTCCGTGGTGACTGTGCAGGCTCAACGGCTCCCAGATCTTCAGTGTCTGCCCTTTAGTTCCTAGGCTCTTCTAAGAGGTGGAGAATCCATCTTTTCAGACTTCCCTCTCATGTCATCTCTGCAGCTTTTATCCATTTCCCATTTCACAGCATACCCATTCCAAGAGCTTGGAAGCAGGTTGCATGTAGTAGTTGTTGCATGTGCCGTTTGAGGGGCTGTGGCTCAGTGGCAGAGCCTCTGCTTGGCATGCAGAAAGTCCCAGGTTCAAGGCCCGGCATCTCCAGTTGAAAGGAACAGGCAGGAGGTGATGGGAAAGACCTCAGCCTGAGACCCTGGAGAGCTGTCAAGAGGGGGCATGGCTTAGTGGCAGAGCTTCCACTTAGCGTGCAGATGGTCCCAGGTTCAGTACCCGGCATCTCCAGTTGAAAGGAACAGGCAGGAGGTGATGAGAAAGACCTTGACCTGAGAGCCTGGCTCAGTGGCAGAGCCTCTGCTTGGCATGCAGAAAGTCCCAGGTTCAAGGCCCGGCATCTCCAGTTGAAAGGGACCAGGCAGGAGGTGATGGAAAAGACCTCAGCCTGAGACCCTGGAGAGCTGTAAAGAGGGGCCCTGGCTCAGTGGCAGAGCCTCTGCTTGGCATGCAGGAGGTCCCAGGTTCAATCCCCAGCATCTCCAGTTAGAAGGACCAGGCAGGAGGTGATGGGAAAGACCTCCGCTTGAGACCCTGGAGAGCTGTAAAGAGGGGCCATGGCTCAGTGGCAGAGCCTCTGCTTGGCATGCAGGAGGTCCCAGGTTCAATCCCCACTTCTCCAGTTAAAAGGACCAGGCAGGAGGTGATTGGAAAGACCTTGACCTGAGACCCTGGCTCAGTGGCAGAGGCTCTGCTTGGCCTGCAGAAGGTCCCTGGTTCAATCCCCGGCATCTCCAGTTAGAAGGACCAGGCAAGGAGGTGATGAGAAGGACGCAGGAGCCCTAAATGATAGACATGTTCAACAATATGCCGTTTTGTCATGTCAGAAAGGTGAGAAGGAAGCAGGGAAAGGAGAGGATATGGGGGCTGCCAGGGGAGAGAAAGAGGAAATAGTGTGGGGAGTGGAGTATGGGGGGGGGGGAACGAGGTGTCTCTTTCAAATGGGTTCCGCTATGGGCAGCTGGGCCCAGCCTGACTGCCAGAACCACACAGAGTTTTCACAGGGGACAGAAAAGCTGAAGACGGGGGCCAGCTTAAGGTTAGTTTGCTGGTGGGTGGGAAGAAGAGAAGGAAGCAGGGACAGAGGAGAGGCTATGGGGATCGCCAGGGAAGGGGAAGAAGAAATAGTGTGGGAGAGGGAAATGCGATGCCCCCCACAAGTCCTCGAGGGTCCCCCCACTTGTACCAAGTATATTGTATCTCTTGAGATATCTGTCGCCTCATCGCAAATTTACAAGGAATCTCCTACAGGCAGCCAAACCCACTGCTGAAGGAAAAATAACTCTCCCGTCCCACAATGAATAGTTGAAAAATGTTCTCTGTTAAACAGCAACTAAGAAATCAGTGTGCGAGCGCTTCTTGTATCGAGGCATTCACAACTCAAGGACAACTTCTGTACGGCACAAAACGCTTTTGCATACTTTGTGGGAACAACAGAATCCCGGGCTGTTGTATGGCAACACTTTTGGCTCTCGGGGCCGTGTGAAGGATACCTTGTACAATTCAAAACAGCAGTGCCGAATCGACGACAGTGGCCAAGGGCAGGGTGTCGGCCGCAGGATCCTCCTTGATTTCTCCGGGGGTGAAAGAGAGAGAGTGGGGATCGTCGGTACCTTAGGCCGTGTCTGTTCAATCGCTCCGTTTGATTTTTACAGCGATCTGCATGTTAAAAAAAATGTTTCTGTATCTGGGGGGGAAAAACCAGTTTAAACTTCTGCTTGGCAAATGCGGTGGCTCAAGTGGTTAAGACGCTGAACTGCAGGCTGTGGAAGGTCGGTAGTTCAGCAGTTCAAGACCCGAGTGCGCCGCATGACGGAGTGAGCTCCCGTCTCTAGTTCCAGCTCCTGCCAACCTAGCAGTTCGAAAGCAAGAAATTGCAAGTAGATAAATAGGTACCACTTCGGTGGGGAGGTAACAGCGTTCCGTGCGCCTTCGTGTTTAGTCATGCCGGCCACATGACCACGGAAACGTCTTCGGACAGCGCTGGCTCTTCGGCTTGGAAACGGAGATGAGCACCGCAACCCTAGAGTCGGACTCGACTGGCTTTCGAGCAAGGGAACCTTTACCTTTACCTATCTGGGGGGAAAAAACCAGTTTGAACTTCTGCTTGGCAAATGGGGATAAGACCGTTTTTCTTTCCGGGTGATGCCCACGGTTTTCTTTTGGTGCTGTCTGAAATCCCTGCGTGGGAATGTGAGCCCCTACAACTGCGGGAAGGTCCATTGTAGCATGCAGGCTCTCTTGTGTGCAGGGTGGTAGGCACTCGCTTGACATCTCCCCCCCCCCGCCCCCGACTTGTTGCCTTTTACTTGGGAGTCGATGCACCAGATTATTACATGAAAGGCCACGAGGCAGCATCGCAGAGAAAATAAGTGCCCCCCCCAACCCAAACTAGCCTGATCTCATCAAATCTCAGAAGCTAAGCAGGGTCGGCGCTGGTTAGTGCTTCGATGGGAGACCACCAAGGAAGTGCAAGGTTGCTATGCAGAGGCAGGCAAGGGCAAACCCACCTCTGAATATCTCTTGCCTTGACTTGGATGGCCCAGGCTGGCCCGATCTCATCAGACCTCAGAAACTAAGCAGGGTCGGCCCTGGTTTGTACTTGGGTGGGAGACCACCAAGGAAGTCTCAGGGTTGCTACGCAGAGGCAGCAATGGCAAACCGCCTCTGTTGATCTCTTGTTTGGGTCTAGCTAACCCATGCTAGTCTGATCTTGTCAGATCTCAGAAGCTAAGCAGGGATGGCCCTGGTTCGTATTTGGATGGGAGACCACCAAGGAAGTCCAGGGTTGCTACGCAGAGGCAGGCAAGGGCAAACCCACCTCTGTTGATCTCTTGTTTGGGTCTAGCTAACCCATGCTAGTCTGATCTTGTCAGATCTCCGAAGCTAAGCAGGGTCGGCCTTGGTTCGTATTTGGGTGGGAGACCACCAAGGAAGTCCAGGTTGTTACGCAGAGGCAGACAATTGCAAACCGCCTCTGTTGATCTCTTGTTTGCGTCTAGCTAACCAATGCTAGCCTGATCTTGTCAGATCTCAGAAGCTAAGCAGGGTCGGCCCTGGTTCGTATTTGGATGGGAGACCACCAAGGAAGTCCAGGTTGTTACGCAGAGGCAGACAATGGCAAACCATTGATCTCTTGTTTGGGTCTAGCTAACCCATGCTAGTCTGATCTTGTCAGATCTCAGAAGCTAAGCAGGGTCGGCCCTGGTTCGTATTTGGGTGGGAGACCACCAAGGAAGTCCAGGGTTGCTACGCAGAGGCAGGCAAGGGCAAATCTACTCTGGACATCTCTTGCCTTGACATGGATTGCCCAGGCTAGCCCGATCTCATTCAGTGTTCCCTCTTAAGCTGCGTTAGTGTGAGCCAGCTCACAGTTTTCTAGCCTCCAACTCACACATTCCTGTCTTCGCTCAGGAAGGAGGGCTCCAGAGCAAACTGATGTATGCAGCAGCCAGATCGCTCGCTCACAACTTTAATGCCAAGTAGCTCACCAAGTAGGATTTTTGCTCACAAGACTCCACAGCTTAGAGGGAGCATTGCTCCAGAGCAAACTGATTTAGGCAGCAGCCCGATCGCCCGCTCACAACTTGAATGCCACTCGCTCACAAAAGTAGAATTTCTGCCCACAAGACTCCACAGCTTAGAGGGAGCATGGATCTCATCAGTTCTCAGAAGCTAAGCAGGGTCGGCCCTGGTTTGTACTTGGGTGGGAGACCACCAAGGAAGTCCAGGGTGGCTACGCAGAGGCAGGCAAGGGCAGACCCACCTCTGAACATCTCTTGCCTTGAAAACCTGATGGAGTTACCATAAACTGGCCGTTTTGAGTCCATTTGATCCTGGCCACCAGCGGCCCCAACGGGAACTTTCCCAGGAAGTCAGAATGCTCATCTGCCCCTGCATAACCACCTGCGGCACGTGGAATGCAACGCTTCGTGTTCTGGGTGCGAACTCTGCTCCCTCTCCCCCCCCCCACACACCTTGCAATGCTGCTTCCCTCACCATTTCTCTTCTCTCCGCCCTGCCCCCTGAAACGGCAGGACCAGGTGGAAACGTGCGAGCGGGAAATCGCAGCCGTGCAGGCGAAAGAACAGCAGTTGGAGAGCACGAACAAGCAGCTGAAAAGCTTGCTGAGAGGAGAGAAGGACGAGGTGAGCCGGCCAAGGCAGCGGAGGAAGGGAGAGGAGAGGGGAAGGCGCTGGGAGGTGGGAGGTCCAAGCGGGGCCTTAAATGTGGGGGCACCTCAGCTGTCGGGGAACTGCTCTTGAGTGAGTCTTGTTGAAATGGGGTTGGACTGTGGCTCAATGGGAAGAGCTTCTAATTGGCGTGCGGAAGGTCCCAGGTTCGATCCCTGGCATCCCCAGTTAAAAAGGACAGAGCATCCCTTGCCCCAGACTGAGAGTCCCTATCTATACCTTGTGGCTAAGAGCCACTGATGGACCTCTGCTCCAGATGTTCATCCAATTCCCTCTTATAAGAACACAAGAGAAGCCAGTGTTGGATCGGGCCAGTGGCCCATCCAGTCCAACACTTAGTGTCACACAGAGGCCAGAAATACCAGGTGCCCTCAGGAGGTCCAGCAGTGGGGCCAGGACACCAGAAGCCCTCCCACTGTTGCCCCCCCCAAGCACCAAGAATACAGAGCATCCCTTGCCCCAGACCGAGAGATCCTCTCTATACCTTGTGGCTCATAGCCACTGATGGACCTCTGCTCCATATAAGAACACAAGAGAACCCAGTGTTGGATCGGGCCAATGGCCCATCCAGTCCAACACTCTGTGTCACACAGTGGCCAAAAACACCAGCTGCCACCAGGAGGTCCAGCAGTGGGGCCAGGACACGAGAAGCCCTCCCACTGTTGCCCGCCCTCCCAAGCACCAAGAACACAGAGCATCCCTTGCCCCAGACAGAGAGATCCTCTCTATACCTTGCGGCTAAGAGCCACTGATGGACCTCTGCTCCATATGCTTACCTAATTCACTCTTGAAACTGTCCCTGCTTGTAGCCGCCACCACCTCCTGTGGCAGTGAGTTCCATGTGTTCATCACTCTTTGGGTGAAGAAGGACTTCCTTTTATCCGTTCTAACCCGACTGCTCAGCAATTTCATGGAGTGCCCACCAGGTCTTGTATTGTGAGAAAGGGAGAAAAAGACTTCTTTCTCTACCTGCTCTATCCTACGCATAATCTTATAAACCTCGATCGCCCCTGGTATTTCTGGCCACTGTGTGACACAGAGTGTTGGACTGGATGGGCCTTTGGCCTGATCCAACATTGGCGTCTCTTATGTTCTTATGAATCGGGCCTGGGTGTGGATTGGCAGCCAGGGCAATCGCTGCCGTTTTGGGTGTTAGCCGTGTCGGCCTGATGCACGGAGCCTGCTGGGCCATCCATGCCGAAAGCGGGTGAGCGCATCCTCGGGTTGCCAGCCTCCAGGCGGGGGCTGGAGATCCCTTGGCATGACAGCCGCTCTCCAGGCAATGGTGGTGGGTTCCCCCTGGAGAAAACGACCGCTTTGGAGGGTGGCCTTGACAGCGTCGTATCCCACTGAGGTCCCCGCCCTCCACAGATCGCCAAGCTCTCGAACACCCTGGCTGGCCGAGCGGCCCAGCACCTCTACGAGATGAAGAGGAAGGAGCAAGAGCTGGCCAGGCTGAAGGAGAAGATGAGCCAGCTGGTGACGGAGAAGAAGGACCGGAGGGGAAGTATGTGGGGGGCACAACGCTCCCTCTGAGCTCTGGAGTCTTGTGAGCAAAAATCCTGCTTTGTGAGCTGCCGGCATTAACGTTGTGAGCGAGCGACTGGGCTACAGCATGAATTAGTTTGCTCCGGAGCCCCATCCTTCCTGAGCGAAGATAAAAATGTGTGAGCCGGAGGCTAAAAAAACTGTGAGCTGGCTCACACTCGCTCAGCTTAGAGGGAACACCGGTGGTGGTGGTGTTGGGGGAGACCATGCGGGCTTATGCATTGGAAGTTTCCCTCCTGCAGCAGGGCTTCTGGGAAGTGGGGATATTAAAGGGTTCCTTCAGAGCAGTTTGGATTCGGGCACGTTTTTAATCCGTTTGTGCCGCGGGAAATTGAGTCCCTGTTAAAGAATTACGGATTCCTCCGCTGGTGGCTAGAAACGTTCCGATATCTTCTTGTGGAAGCCACTGGGATGTCTCTCGCAGCGTCGGTCTGTCCTTGACGGCACCGCCAAGATCTCCCTGGTTTCGATGAAACCCTTTTGGGTCCTTGCATTTCCGGTGTTTCTGTTACACATACTTGGAGGGAGTGCGGCTTGATTCGAGTCCAGCAGTGGCTTGGAGACCAACTAGATTTTGGGGATATACACTTTCGAGAGTCAGAGCTCTGCGGGATTCAGATCTCACCGTTCTGTTTCAGACCAACGTGGCTACCCTCTCCTTGGAGGGTGCGTTGTGTCTCAATATGCGCGACTGCCGTTTTAGCTCAGTCAGGTAACACACACACCTATCTGAATCAGGTAACACACACATATATATTCCAGCTTGGTGTACTGATTAAATGCACGGACTCTAATCTGGGAGAACCGGGTTTGATTCCCCCACTCCTCCACGTGCACCTGGCTGGATGACCTTGGGCAAGCTGTAGTTCTGACAAGAGCTGTCCTTGAAAAAGAGCCGTTTCCGTCAAGAGCTCTCTCAGCCCCACCTACCTCACAGGGTGTCTGTTGTGGGGAGGGGAAGGGAAAGGAGTTTGTAAGCCGCTCTGAGATTCCTTCGGGTAGTGAAGGGCAGGGTATAAATCCAATCGCTGCTTCTTCTTCAATTCCCCACTCCTCCACATGCAGCTGCTGGTGTGACCGTGGGTCAGTCACAAGTTCTCTCAGAGCAGTTCTCTCTGGCAGTCCTCGACAGGGCTCTCTCAGCCCCACCTACCTCACAAGGGTGCCTGTTGTGGGGAGGGGAAGGGAAAGGAGATTGTGAGCCGCTCTGGGACACCTTTGGGTAGTGAAGGGCGGGGTATAAATCCAATCTCTTCTCTTCTTCTTCTATGTACAAATAGGTATTCTGCTAAATCTGGGTTTCTCGTTGTGTATGTCAAAACGGGAATATGTGTGTGTTGCCCTGTTTAGAGAGCACTGATCGTGTGGCAGTTAGGGCATCAGACTACGAAGTGGGAGACCCGCGTTCAAATCCCCGCTCTGCCTTGGCAGCTTGCTGGGGTGACCTTGGTCAGTCACTCTCAGCCTCAGAGGTCATTTCGGGGGGGATCGCAGTTCCCCCGGGTGAGGTACGGGGGGCGGGGCACATGACGAAGCCCCGCCCCCCGCTTCCGGCCGCCCCGCTTCCGGCCCTCATTCAGCCAGGAGGAGGCAGGAGAAGAGGGAGGGTAAGTTGCTTCCTCCCTGCCTCTCCCCACCCCTGCCTGCCTGGGGCCAGGGAGGGTCTTCGCGGGGCTTCCTTGCAGTCCCGCCGGCCTTGCAGGACCACCGCCGGGCCCCTCATGGGGCTCGGCAGTAGAGCTGCAAGGCTGGCGGCGGCGGCCGGGACCGTTGGGGGCGGGGTGTGTGGCCTTATGACACACTTCCGGTGATGTCAGGGGGTGTGGCCTTATGACACACTTCCGGTGATGTCAGGGGGTGTGGCATATGCTAAGGAGTTATGCTAATGAGTTCCCCTAGCTCTTTTTCTACAAAACGACCCCTGCTCAGCCTAACCTCCCTCACAGGATTGTGGAGAGGAGAACCATGCCAACTACTTTGGGTCCTCCTTGGGGAGAGAGGTGGTGGTGGGGGTGTAAATCAACTAAAAAGTCAGACAAAATGGCAATTGTGCATACCAAGATAGTCATGCATAGTGCATTCTTGTGCTGGAAATGTGATGGCTGCAAAGGTTTTAACTCTTTGGTAGATTCCCTAAGGCGAAATCATGCCCTAGGATAATGATGACAATTTTTAGAAGACCAAGTTCTTAGATCCTGGGGGCGGGGAAGAGAAGAAGAAGAAGAGATTGGATTTATACCCCACCCTTCACTCATAGTCTCAGAGCTGCTTACAATCTCCTTTCCCCACAACAGACATCCTGTGAGGGTAGGCGGGGCTGAGAGAGCTCTTTCAAGGACTGCCTTTGATAGAACAGCTCTGAGGATACTTGTGACAGACCCAAGGTCACACCAGCAGCTGCACGTGGAGGACTGGGGACTCAAACCCGGTTCTCCCAGATGAGAGTCCGCGCTCCTAACCCCTACACCAAACCGTGGCACCCAGCATCTCTGAAGTATTCGTTTTGCCGTCCCTAGCAATCGAGATCCTCAACGCCCTGACCCGTCCCGATGGTAAGAGGCCGACCTGGAAAACAGGGAAATCTCTCGGCAAGTAAGTAGGTGGCTGTTCCCAGCCCTGTTTCGGGGAGTGGGGCCAGGGCGGGGGGAAGTGGAGAGAGGTGTTCGCGCAAGCTGTGTTGGGCACAGGGGGTACTTCTCGGTTAATCCGTCCCTCTTCCGTTGATGGGCTTTTGCTGTGAATTGGGGTTTATCCTCCACGGCCTTGATCCAAAAAACCCCCGATAACAAACCTAATCGGCAAGAGAAGCGGGATTGGAATGTTTTAAGAAACAAAGAAGCGTGCCGGCTGGACAGGCGTCAGGAGGCCAGTCCTGTGGGGACTTTCTGTGGCGTCCCAAGCCCTTTCAGTGGTAGGCCGAAGCGTTGCCTGTTTTTCTGGCCTTCCAGGAAAGAGGAGGAACTCTACCGCGTCCAGCTGGCCAGGCAGGAGCAGCGGGAGCAGGGCCTGGCTCTGGAGAATGCCAGGCTGCAGCAACTGCTGGCCCAAGTGGGCCGGGACGTGCAGCAGCTGATGGGCGCCGACGGAGGCCTTCCCCAGGTAAGAGCTTTGGGGAGCTGGCCCCTACCGGTGCCCACATTGGCCACCTCTGTCCGGCTGCCCGTGCCCGCCGTTGGTGTTCGCCTGCTGTCTCCTTTCAGGGCCCGATCCTGCCAGATCTCGGAAGCTAAGCAGGGCCAGCCCCGGCTAATATTCGGAAGGGCGACTTCCAAGGAATACCAGGGCTGAAACGCAGAGGCAGGCCATGGCGAACCACCTCTGTCCGCCTCTTACCTTGACCTTACCTTGACCTAGAGTGCCAGTTTGGTGTCGTGGTGAAGTGCGCGGACTCTAATCTGGGAGAGCCGGGTTTGATTCCCCACTCCTCCACTTCCACCTGGCTGGATGACCTTGGGCAAGCCGTAGTTCTGATAAGAGCTGTCCTTGAAAAAAGAGCAGAGAGAGACAGAGAGAGAGAGGTTGCCAGTCCCCTGGTGGAGGCAGGGGTCCCCCGCTGCCAGGTGCTACCCACAGCGACCGATCAGTTGGCTGGGGGTGGGGTGGGGAGCTTGCCAGGAGGAAGAAGGCGGCCTAGGCCTCATCATGGGAGAGCCAGTTTGGTGTAGTGGTTAAGTGTCCGGACTCTAATCTGGGAGAGCCGGGTTTGATTCCCCACTCCTCCACTTGCACCTGGCTGGATGACCTTGGGCAAGCCGTAGTTCTGATAAGAGCTGTCCTTGAAAGAGAGCAGTTTCTGTCAGAGCTCTCTCAGCCCCACCTCCCTCACAGGGTGTCTGTTGTGTGGAGAGGAAGGGAAAGGAGTTTGTAAGCCGCTCTGAGATACCTTTGGGTAGTGAAGGGCGGGGTAGAAATCCAATCTCCTCTTCTTTTAGATTGCGCAGGCTAGCCCGATTTTGTCAGATCTCAGAAGCTAAGAGGGTCAAGCCCTTGTCAGTACTCGGATAGGAGACCAGGCTGGCCTGATACCATCATATCTCGGAAGCTAATCAGGGTTGGCCTTGGCTAGTATTTAGAATGGCAACCTGCAAGGGATACCTGCAAGGGTCCTGATGCAGAGGCAGGCAATAGCAAAAACCACCTCTGAATGTCTCTTGCCTTCAAAAGAAGTCTAGCTCGCCACCTAGTGGTCCATAACGCTAAATGAGCTAGAACTTCTGGCTGCCAGACAATCTTAGGATCTCTTAGCTGTTTTACACACACTGCCATGCGATGATGACGATGATGATAATAATAATAATAATAGTTCTCCTTTCAGGGCCCAGAGCAAAACTTCCCATTTGAGGTCTTCCAAGAGCAGTGGTGTCATTTTCGAGACGGTAAGGAAAGCCATGGCAGGGGTTGTAATTCTGGGAGATCTCCAGGCCCCGCCTGTAGGGTGGCAACCCTAGTTCATTGCAGCTAAGGGGTCTCTGGATTCCAGCTCTGGGTTTAGCCAGGGGAAGGTCCATCTTCATGCTGCTGGGTAGACGCCCAGCAGAGCATCTGCGAACTGAACGTTGGCTCTGACCCAAGAAGTCACAGCTTACGCTCTCCTTGTTCTCAGCTCAGCTTGGGAAAGGGGATTGGAAGCCACTCTGAGACTCCTTTCGGTAGTGAAGGGTGGGGTATAAATCCAGTCTCCTTCTCCTGTAAGTAGCAGGCTAGGAGGGGTCTCTAAAGGGAGGTATTCCAGGAGGGTACTAGTCCCAACAGTTGCTGCTATTCCCGTCTTGTAGATCTGGAGGCAGATCTGGTGGATTCACACAGAACACTTCATCAAATGACTCTGGGCCTGGACCAGACAGTAGGTGGTGGGAAAGACCTTGACCTGAGACCCTGGCTCAGTGGTAGAGCATCTGCTTGGCATACAGAAGGTCCCAGGTTCAGTCCCCGGCATCTCCAGTTAAAAAGGACCAGGCAGGAGGGGATGGGAAAGACCTTGACCTTAGACCCTGGCTCAGTGGAAGGGCCTCTGCTTGGCATGCAGAAGGTCCCAGGTTCAATCCCTGGCCAGAGGTACTTTTCTCCCTTTCTCACAATACAAGAACTCGTGGGCACTCCATGAAACTGCAGAGCGGTCGGGTTAGAACGGATAAAAGGAAGTACTTCTTCACCCAAAGAGTGATTAACACATGGAATTCACTGCCACAGGAAGTGGTGGGTGCTACAAGCATGGACGGCTTCAAAAGGGAATTAGATAAGCATATGGAGCAGAGGTCCATCAGTGGCTATTAGCCACAAGGTATAGCTAGGGGCTCTGGGGCAAGTGATGCTCTGTCTTCTTGGTGCTTGGGGGGGGGTCAACAGTGGGAGGGCTTCTAATGTCCTGGCCCCACTGCTGGACCTCCTGATGGCACTGGTATTTCTGGCCACTGTGTGACACAGAGTGTTGGACTGGATGGGCCTTTGGCCTGATCCAACATTGGCGTCTCTTATGTTCTTATGTTCTTATCTCCAGTTAAAAATGACCAGGCAGGAGGTGATGGGACCTCCGCCTGAGACCCTGGAGAGCAGGACTGGATGGGCCTTTGGCCTGATCCAACATTGGCGTCTCTTATGTTCTTATGTTCTTATCTCCAGTTAAAAATGACCAGGCAGGAGGTGATGGGAAAGACCTCCGCCTGAGACCCTGGAGAGCTGTAAAGAGGGGCTGTGGCTCAGTGGTAGAGCATCTGCTTGGCATGCA